TAAGACCAAGAAGGCCGCCGCCGCCGCCGCGGCTGCCGCTTCCGCTTCGGCCGCATCGGGATCACCGTCTAAGTCGAAGGCATCTTCAGCGCCGAAAGACAAGAAGACGGCCGCCGCCAAAAAGAAGCCCGCCGCCAAGAAGGCCGCCGCGCCGGCCAAAGCGAAGGGCGGCGCAGCCCCCAAGGCCAAGAAGACCGCGAAACCACCCACGAAGAAACCAAAGGCACCTAAACCTAAGAAGGCCGCAGCCACACCCAAGTCGAAGCCCGCCGCGAAGAAAACGGCCGCAGCAAAGAAGTAAATGGCCTGTAGCGCGTCGGTATTGTTGTTGTGTGTTGTCGCCGCAACTTGCTCTAGTACCTAGTAGTAGGTACGCCGCCGCCGTCGCCGCCGTCGATGATGCTGTTGGTGCGGCGTTAAGCTATCGCGCTCACGACGTACACGAGAGCGAATGCGACGACGCACAAGAGAAGATAAATAAAAATAACAAACACAAAACCAAACAGCCCTTTTCAGGGCTAACAATATATTCGTGAACGTGTGTCGTTCGTTCGTTGTGTGTTGTGTGTGCAACAACGACAACGGCGGCACACATTCGTTTCTCGATTACAGAAAGTCAACTCGCTAACAAACCCCCCCCCCATGTACTCGTACATCGCGCCTCACCTATGTATACCACCTATACACCTATACATCTCTCTACACAGCAGATTAACGCATGAACAGTACATAACGATATATATATATATATATATATATTGTTATGTACATAATAATAATACAGGATAGGTACAGGTTACAGATGATTCTACAGATGCTTTAATCATTTCTAATAATATTACAATGTACTACTGTACTATTAACTAGTACTACTACAACTACTACTCATCAACCACGCTACTGATACATTATTTTAATAATAACGACGACAACAATACCCAATTCCTTTATATTACACACGTACACATATTAAGTATATAAATAAACACATATACAATATAATTAAAAAACCTATTTAAGTAAAGCAGTTACTGAAAACAACGGTGTCGAGCAGCGCGACACCGCCCGACTGCCCGACTCCCGACTCCGACTCCGAGATTAATAATATAATAGATTTTGAGGTGGCGGCTTTTATAACCACGCTACGCGGCGCAATAAAAGGTGGGCGTGGCTTTATTGTATTAGCCAATCAAAAAATGTGAGGCTTTTGATTGGATGTTATTTTATTTTCTAAAAATTTCAGAAAATGTTTTTAGCTGCTTACAACTCTAACAAGTGGCATGTTATTTTCTATTTACGTTAACGACAATTGTGATATTATTTTCCAAGTTATAATAAACATAGAAAAATAAGATTAATAGAATATTGTTTTATTTAGTAATAGAATAATGAAACTTGATTCTTTTAGTGAGTTTCTCTTTTTTGATGTTGATATGATTACAAATAATTATTGTTATAAGGTTAGGATAATTATTATAAGGGTCACATAGTCTTAGAAAAAAATAAATTAGCCGCATAGCATATATAGAAATATTCATACATAATGTAACTTGTTACCAATGTTTGTATGCTATACTCTTCTGTTTCTTGTTCTCTAAGGAGTACACAAAGAGAATTGTGAAATATTTACTTTAAGTTACAATTGTGTAAAACCTTTTTTGGGAACCTGAAATTTAAATAAATAAATATAAAATAAAATATACTTACAATTAGGAAAGAATACTGCCGCATAACTGGCTAATAACATTAATTAGCTCGGTTAATCCGCGGCGCTTTCTCTGATCTTAAAACACATATAATGAGCGACGTCGCGTAAAATTTTTTCATTCTTAGCGTAACGTTAGCGAATGAGCACGTCGCGGGGCTGTCCATTAACCAGTGTGTTGATCTGAGTTACAAATGATGTCATATACAGCAGTGTAATCTAATTAAAAACACGAGTTAATATGTCTGGGTTAAATTTGATTAAAAAAGGAAGCTAACGTTAATAATAGAAGATTCGCTTCGAGTTTTGCAACGGTCAATCGAGAGTACATCATCTCTTCGACTGGAAGCTTTTATCTAAAATACACATTCGTTATCATTTGAAGAACCAATAAAATGAAGTCAGTTTCTAAGACAAGTGCGAACCTTAAAGTAGTCTTGTGAAGATGGTACGATCAAATACGCCAGTACCTACTTATGGATATAAAAGTTGAAGCCAAGAATAGTGTTTCCAATTTACATTGAGACAAATCCTTTTAAAAAAATACGTAAGTAGTTATTTGAACGATAAAATTGAATTTCCAAGTATAATAATATATTTATAATAATCTATATTGAAGTAACTGTTTATTGGCTGGGTATTATTTATTTGTTTTTATGTATCTACGTAGGTACAACTATTATTACGGGTGTACCTATTACCATTAGCAGTTACTTTGAACAGCCAATAACAAACATGACTTAAATATATTTACTTTCTTATATATATTTACTTCTATATATATAAGAAATATAAATATATAATAAAATATAACTATATATATGAAAGAAAGTCTATATTTACTTTCTTATTACCTTCTGTATAATTTTATACATATCTTTATGAAGACATTTATTTTTTGTACTGCATAAAGATGGCTTCTTTTCCCGCCACCTAGCTTTTTATACCATATTTTATTTAAATAAATTACCTTACACCAGTTTTATTTTCTTATTTGCAAAATGTAGGTACTTTAGTGGATTATGGGCAATAAAGATAATTATAATAATAATAAATAATTGTGATATATTGAAAAGTCGACTAAAAGGAATAAATTGTGAATTTTTCAAACAAACGTTAATGACAGCTGTCTAAGTGAGGTAAAAAATATAATAAACGTATAAAGTGCGAATAAACGCGGCCAAAAAAGTAGTCTCACTGACAGATTGTGTCATGTAGGTAAGTTGGATTTTGGCTGTGATTTACACATTACCCCTCCCATTAAGTAGTTGAAACTTAAGATATTTAATTAATCGTTATAGGTTTAAACTTAATGTGATTGGTCAGAAATACTAATTATAAAATACTTACCTTCCTAACTTAAAATCCTATATCGTCGTAGATAACTTACACTCAGGCACAGAACCAATGATCTCAACAACACTTCGTGTCATCCACAAATTGTTGTTCTGAGTCTGTGTGTTCTTTGTGTCCGTTTTATTTCCTAGTGCAGAGTTGTCTTTAAAAAAAAGCTTCATGAGAAAGTACGTGCAATAAAACTAAGATAAAGTTTGTATTGTGTGAGTGAGCAGCATTCTTTAAATATTCCAGACGATACGGAAAGGGAATTCTGTTCGAGTTAAGCTTGTGCTGATAAACCTTCCTGGATCAACCAGCCTTGATACTGTTAGAGGGGCCAGCCACCAATGAATAAATTGGAGACACCTAGCTGGAGCCGGTACGGTAATTATTTTAAATAAAATACTACCTACATATTTAAAAAGTACAGTAATAATAATATAATATACCTCACAACTCACACACGGCCGTCTGATCCCGAATGGGGTAAATGAGTAGAAGGCTCACCTGATGGTAAGTGACTACCGCCTCTCAGAGACCCCAACAAGGACCGGGGCCCCCTCCCCAGGGACCAGTGCCGCCCCTCTATCAATACACTAAGGTCGCATCGGTTACCCGCAAAGGAAACCCTTGCGGGTAACCGATGCAGCCCTACCCACCTACACCTGACAACTAACAAACTCTTTATGTTACAGTTCTTGTTGCTGCGGCCACCCCACCGAGCCGCGAGCACCTGTACCTACTTGGCCCAAGTAGGCGCACCGTGTGTGGAAGCCGGTGACCGCCAACAACAACAAGACAGCGCCTCGCGCCACTCCCGGACAAGACACCAGAGGGACACCATCGTATGCGTATCCCCGAAGAGCACAGCGAGCCACAAACCCGTTCCCAAGTGCGACAGGCGGAACAGGATACGCGCATGTGGTGACTTCCCCACCACCAACCGTAAACACAGCCACCATTGCCGACATAAGCCAAATTGCCGCACCGCAGCGAGAAGAGCGCCGCCGCAGATACCCGCCCCTCATTGTTAAGGTTCTGCCAATGCCATGAGGGAGCTGAAGCAGAGGCTAGGCAGGGCCGCGAATGCTGTACGCCTAAGAACGACCAGGAGTTCCGGCTACTAAATAATTTAGAGCCTTTGAATAATTTGCTACGGAAAAATGTTAAATTCAGTTGGGGCCCTGATCAAGAGAAATCTTTTGTGAACATCAAAGAATTGTTATGTAACTCACATGTACTGGCGTATTATGATCATACAAAACAAATTATAATCAGTTCTGATGCAAGTTCTTATGGTCTGGGGGGTTGCCTACAACAATTGGATTTAGAGGGAAATAGACAGATAGTAGCTTATATTTCAAGATCTATGTCAGAAACAGAACTGAGATATTCTCAGATTGAGAAAGAGGCGCTTGCTCTGACATGGGCAGCAGAGAAATTTCAGGAATACATTACCGGATTGGATATTGTTTTGGAAACTGACCATAAGCCCTTGCTTCAGCTTCTACAGACTAAAAATTTGGATGATTTGACTCCTAGACTACAAAGGTTTCGGATCAGGTTAATGAGATTTAGTTATAACATTAAATATATAGCGGGCAAAGATTTGGTGTTAGCTGATTGTTTATCTAGAGCTCCTCAAGAGACTGATATTAACACTTTCGATTCTGATACTACATGCTTTGTGTCTCAAATAATTAGAAATACTCAGTTAAATGACACATATTTAGAAAAAATTGTAGAGGGTCAGGAAAAAGATGCTATCTGTATATGCCTAAAAAAATACACTATTGATGGCTGGCCAGAAAAAAATAAAGTACCTAATAATTTAATCCCATATTACCAATATAGACATGATTTCAGTATATGTGAAAATTTGCTTTTAAAAGGCTCTAGAATTGTTATTCCCTTTTCACTGCAAAAAGAAATGTTGATGAATATTCATCTAGGCCATCAAGGTGTTGTTAAATGCAGGCGTAGGGCTCAAGCTACTGTATGGTGGATGAAGTATCCAAATTGAAAATTTAATTAAAAATTGCCCTGAATGTACAGAAAATAGAACAAACCCAGTAAATAAGATTTTTAAAGATGATGTTCTTTGTTCTGGTCCTTGGCAAGTTATAGCGGCTGATTTGTTTCTATATAAGAAATGGTACTTAATTATCACTGATTATTACTCTTGATTTTCTGAATTTTTTGAATTGAGTTCTTTGAATGAAAAAGCCATCATCTGCAATGTCAAGGAACTTTTCTCAAGATATGGTTTGCCTAAACTATTCAAATCAGATAATGGGCCTCAATTTCAACAGGAATTTAAGAGGTTTGCTGATGAATATAAATTTAGACATAACATCTTCACCTTATTATAGTCAATCAAATGGTCTTGCAGAAAATGCAGTTAAAATTGCTAAACATTTAATAAAAAAGAATGAAGATAACATAGATAAAGCCTTGCTCGAATATAGATCCACACCCCTGGAAAATGGATTTAGTCCTGCCGAATTGTTAATGGGTAGGAAATTGAGAACGTTCTTGCCAATATTGCCAAGGGAATTAACTAAAAAAAATAATGAGACAGTAATTTATAAAGAAAAAGAAATTAAAAATAATCAGCAGTATTATTATGACAAAAGGCATAGGACTAAACAGTTATCTGATTTGAATATTGGAGATAAGGTATGGATGACTGATTTTAGATCATATTGAGTTGTTACTAAGTGTTTGCCTTTCAGATCCTATGTAGTAAAAACAGATAGAGGAGAATATAGAAGGAACAGGTGGCATTTGATACCAGCTCCATATCATAACAATAATATAGAAGAAAAAAGACTACGTAAATTTTGAGACATTGGTTTCTGCCAGCTCTAATAACAATGATGAGATGTCTTTAGTTAATCAAAGTAATGAAAATCAGAGTTCTCATAAATCGTTGGAAGAGCGGACAGAAACCCAAGGAAATGATAATCATGTTAATAATAGACCTTTAAGAGAAAGGAAAAAGCCTGTTTGGCTGGGTGATTATATAACAGAGTAAAATTTATTTAAATGTAAACTTTGTAACAATTAGTAGTTCTGGTAACATTTGTTTGCTGCTATTTAATAAATAAATTAAAAACTAAATCTTAAGGAGAGGGATGTAGTGTAATCGATGGTCAAAAACAATTAGTTGGAAATTCAGTTTTCTATGGAACCCGGTGAACAATACAATCTCTCTGAATATTTATGTCTTTCTTTATTATATATAAAACCAACAATACAGTTCCGAGTCTGGGAGTTCTTTGTTTCCGTTTCATTTATGTTTGTAAAGTTCTCCATGCCAGGGTATAGTACTAGAGCAGGTGTGCGTTGCCCCAGCGGAAAAAGTTCGAATATTATTGTTTGAGATTAACAGATATTTAGTGTATGACGTCGTGTAATTGGGCTAAAAAAAACTTTATCGTGAATAACTCCGCAATGGTTGGATGCACAAATTTTTACTTACTATACACTTTACATTACATTACACATTAATCTCAAACAATACAATTCGAACTTTTTCCGCTGGGGCAACGCACACCTGCTCTAGTAGGTGTGCGTTACCCCAGCAAAATAATGTTGAAAATGGTCATTTAAACGTTATACATAATTAGTTGCCCCCCCCTTCTGTAATTGTTAGGCACATTTTTAAATTTGTTTCACTTTTATAGTTATTTCAAAAAAACATTTCTTGCTGGGGTAACGTTTGAAACGTTACCGCAGGCCAGACTTTTTTTTTTAAATTGGAATATTGAAATAAATATTAGCTGAATAATCAATCAATGGTTTTCATCTCACCCCTCCTTGTTGTGGAGTGGGGAAACTATTTGGAGCTCTGGGCTCCTTATAGAGGTGTTCTTCGCGACTCACCGCTGTGAGTCGGTCGTTGGGGTTGAGTCCACCGGTCACGAGGCCGCTCTTCCGGGGTTTCTTAGGAAGAGGTGAGCCGCCTGCGAATGGCCGGTGGTTCGTGTTCTGAATATGGTGCCCCTCTCAGGGACGTTGAGATAAGCTCTCGAGCAGGGCATTTCAGTCGCCTGCGGATGGCGAGTGTTGCCTCCGGATGGGGGAGGGGAGCAATGCCTGCCAAGTGGGGGAATTTTGAGCGGTCGGCCCGCTCAAACATCCCAGTGGCAAGCCTGCTCACGAATGTCCCTATGGGTTCCCATTTAAGGTCACGGTGGATGGTGGATTTCCTTAGGTATCTGGGTGCGTCGACTACCAGGCGGAGACAGCTGTTTTCTACAGCTTGGAGGCGTTGGCGCATCGACCCCGATGTCAGGTTGTATCAGGCCGGCCCGGAGTAGGTAAGGCGCGACCGGATGTACGTTTTGTAGATACCGAGCTTCGCTCGGAGTGGCAATCTTGATGACAGCAGGGGACGCAGCTTCGTCCTCGCAAACTTTGCTCTGGTGGTGATGGCTTCCACATGGTGAGACATCGTCAGGTTTCTGTCGATGATGATACCCAGATATTTGATCTTTGGGGACCAAGGGATATCCTCCCCCATCAGGTTAATTTTTGGTGGCAGGTGTTTACTGCCGGTTATCAGTGCTTGGGTCTTAGCCACGTTGCATTTCAGTCTCCACTTTTTCAGCCAACACGGGAGTGCTTCCAGTGTCGGCCTCAATTTGCGGGCAGCGTGGTTGGTGCTCCGAGAGCTGGACAGGAACGCTGCGTCGTCGGCGAAGAGTGTGAGTTTCGCGTCTCCGATTACGGGTATGTCGTCCGTGTAGTGGGCGTAGAGGGCTGGCGACAGGCAGCTTCCCTGTAGGACTCCTGCCAGGATGGCCTTCTCACTCGATGTGGCGTCCCCAACGGCCACGCAGTAGGTCCTTTGGGAGAGGAATGATACGATGATTTCGACGACCCTTCGCGGCAGAGAGGTCCTCGACAGTTTGTAGATGAGGCCGTCATGCCACACCCTGTCAAATACCTTTTCCATGTCCAGCATCACGGCCGCCGTGTGTCCGCCCTTATTCAGCCATGTGGCCATTTCGTCTAGGACACGGGTTAGCTGCAGCGTGGTGGAGTGCTGCTGACGAAAACCGAACTGCTTCTCCCTCGGGTGGATTTAAGTTTGGATCCTTCCCAGTAGTAGACGCTCGAATAGTTTCGACGTCGTCGAGAGAAGGGTGATGGGCCTGTAGTTGTCAGGCCTCCTCAGGTCTTTGCCGGGCTTAGGCAGGGCGACAACCCTGCCTTTTTTACCAGGTGGTTGGGAAATGACCGGTTCTGAGGATGCCGTTGAATAGCTGTGTAACGGCGACTAGCGACTTGCGGGGGAGTCGTTGCAGTGCAGTGTTGGGGACACCATCCTCTCCAGGTGCCTTCCTGGGGTTGGATCACGGCTGCGACCTCCCTAGGGGTTATTAGTGTTACGCTGTCGGGTTGGTCGCAGTGGGTACAGAGGTCTTAGTTGCCTCTTCTACCTGCCGTGTGTGGATTTCGTCCTAGTCTTCATGGGGCATAAACTGCCTTTCTATGCTGTGGGTCATAATCTCGGCGCGGTCTTGAGCTTGGTACCGGAGAAGGCCGTTGTGTCCGAACAGGGGGCGTGTGGGGGTAGGCTCTGCGCATAATTTTTTTGCGGAGCTTGTGGATGGAGGGTTGCTCGTCCTCGATGGAGAGCAGGAAGTCATCCCTCCCGTCGCCCCTGTGTTCCCACAGTGCAGCCTTGACCTGGTTGGTGGCTTCATTGTACCGGGTTTTGGTTGTGGGGTGTCTGGTTCTCTGCCAGAGCTTTTTGGCTTCGCACTTCTCCACAAGCATTTTCCATTTTTAAACGGTCCATTATTTTTGTTTTTTTATTGTTAAACAAATTAAAACTAATCCTTATGAAGTTATGTACAAAAGATGGTTACAATCCGCTTACTCTTTTCAGAGATCCAGCAAACCCACAAACGTTACTCCAGCAGGATCTCGAATAACTTCGCAGCCGAAGATAATACAAATACCAAAAAAGTTGTAACATTTAACAACCTCGTCCAGAAAACTAATTATTCAGCTAATATTTATTTCAATCATCATCATGAACAGCCTTTACTAGTCCACTGCTGGACATAGACCTTTCCTTAAAAAGGAGGTTTTGGCCTACTATACCACGCTGGCCACACGGGTTGGTATAGGGTTTGTATCAAGTTTTCCTTCTCTCTGCAGTGCTGTTGTACTGCATGGTGTATTTCAATATTCCAATTTAAAAAGAAAATGTCTGACTGCGGTAACGTTTCAAACGTTAACCCAGCAGGTTTTTTTTTTGTTTTTGAAATTACTTAAAAAAAAATAAGTGAAACAAATTTAAAAATGTGTCTAACAATTACAGAAGGGGGGGGGGCAACTAATTATCTATAACGTTTAAATGACCATTTTCGACATTATTTTGATGGGGTAACGCACACCTCTAGTAGAGTAAAATCAAGTGAAAAAGTGACGTAATTGTTATTTGTAGCCTCTTCGAAAAACTTTTTCACTACCGATAATAACCGCGACAAAAAATCTAACTACTGTGAAAATGTTATATTTTTATAACTGTATTTCCCATGCCTAGTAAGTTCATAGGTAATATAATAATATATATGATAAATATATTTCATTATACACATACATACATACTTGCAGAGTTACATACATACATATATACACAAATAACATATAAAACTTTACGGATATGATGAATCTGCTAGGGCGTCTAAAATGCGAGCTCCGACTTTCGTCGATGTCGAAATGATAGGCGGTTGTGTGCTATCTTGATTGTGATGTAATATAATATGTCGTATCTATACTAATATTATAAAGCTGAAGAGTTTGTTTGTTTGTTTGTTTGTTTGTTTGTTTGAACGCGCTAATCTCAGGAACTACTGGTCCGATTTGAAAAATTCTTTCAGTGTTAGATAGCCCATTTATCGAGGAAGGCTATAGGCTATATATCATCACGCTAAGACCAATAGGAGCGGAGCACCAATGAAGAATGTTTCAAAAACGGAGAAAATTTATTACTATTGAGAGACGCAGACGAAGTTGCGCGGGTCAGCTAGTATTATATATTGTACGTTTTAGAATATTACCTAAATATACTGCACGGCCGCTTTTTTGTAGCCATCAGAATTCGGTCGAGTTATGTACGAGTTGTCAGTATTTTAATTGTATTTCGTTAATAATTTAGTGTAAAGAAATGAATTTTTTTTGTGCATAGTTGAATTAATGCACTAATTATTGGAATAGGTTTTATAACGCATTTCCTTTAGAATCTCGTGCAATAAGACATTTGAAATACTATGACTACATAGTAAATTATCCCATAGCTCATTAATTAATAAGAGTACATCAATGATACTTGGTAAGACGTTGTAGTGCATAAGCACTAAGTACTAGGACCTAATAATTCTATATTATTTAAGGTTTTGAGCATCAACAACGCTACAAATAAATTTCATCTCGTTCTTTAAGTTCGTTTGGGAAATTATCGGCATTATTAACATCTGTTTCACTCTTTAAATTTGACAATTTAGACTTTAGAGTATAACGTTAAGTTGAAGTGCGAGTTCAGCCCTGTGTGACGCAGTCAAGGTCTTTAGTCGTTACAATTTATATAAATATGTAGATAGTTTTTAAATCCAGTACTTGATCCCCTTGATAGAACTGCGCTTAATAAGTCTTTTCTTCTAGTCTAGTTCTAACTTCTCGGTCATTTTATTTTGTAATCGAAACGGAATGGTAAGTGAGGTTGACTTGAGTGAGAGTAGAAATAACTCGTTGTTACCTATACTACTATACTACTATAAAAATAAGTGAATTTTACACTCACGTATCACTATTTATCTCTCACTGGACGGTATCTGCCAGATCAGGGTGGCAGTCGTAGACAGACGCGGCAGACCGCTGGGCCAGATACATCACTTTGGTATTTCGGAATTCCGAAATCATTCTGAAATGTTCGACAGAATAATCACTGTAGGGCTATCACTCTTACGCATTATAATTGTCAGAGGTGGTAAGAGCAAATGCAATAACAATATTATTAAATTAATCCTTTAAAAGTAAGGAAATTCTTTCCTTTTAATTATTTAATTTGTAAAACAAACTACTTCAGTGTAGGTAGGTATAAGTACCTCATACTTTATGGAATTAAAAGCCGAGTTGAAAAAGATTAAAGAGAAAGTATTGTAGTTTTAAATTTCTAACAAAGGTAAACAAAGAGGTTAAAATTCCTAAAGGATTAGATTTCTTGAAAAAAAAAAAAATCAAACACTAAGTTCGCACACGTTGAGTATAAAAATAAGCGTAGATATTGGCTGGTTATGCTCATTACGATAGTCTGAGGGAGGGAATATGGCATAAGGAATGGTACTTAGCTGCAACGTTCTGCTGCGCTGCGGTCTGACGCTATATTAGGTACCTACGTCACGTCACTATTCGGCGATGTACTAAGTTTCCGCGTTATTCGTAAATGCTTGGCTGGACACGGCGCGATGCTGACCCTGACGGTCTACTTACTGTGATGCTCTTGCTGATTGGTTCCAGTTTCAATAAGACTACCACTCTTGATATTCTTTGCAAATTCTGTCCTGTCACGGTCCCTTAAATGTATCTTATAGGCGATACATCTGGAGCTAAGTAGCTTAAAAAAATAAATTTTGACGTAATGTTAGCCTTTTTGACGCGATTTAAGAATTATAAAACCATTTTTAAGAAGGATAACAAACGTATAATATAAAAGTAATAAAATTACGGTATAAAATAAAATTGTTATTTTGTTCGAAGTACCGACAATTTAGTACCGCCTGACTTAGCCAAATCATATAGGGTACATCCACAATGCTGTGAGATTAAGGTCAGGCGCAAATAGTGTTTTTAGAACCAAAAATAGTGGGCCAAAAACCTCATTTCTAGACGAGGCCTATATCCAGCAGTTGACTATTAAAGGCTGTTTATTTATTTATTTATTAGTTAAGGTCTACCAACAATTGTTAACATTTAAACTTATTCCTAGTTGCATGCGAAAATACAAAACTTAATGTTACAATTACTTAAAGGTAAACACCGCATTTAAAATATTATAGAAAATACGGGCAGTAAGCCAATATAACGTAACTAGTAAATGTAGACATTCTTAAAACTACAATTTTAGCCAGTTTTATCTATTAATAGATACACTATGTAAAATCAGGTAAGTTCATCAGTATTGATCTAACTTTTGCCACAGAGTCAAAGTGAAGATCAATTTTATTACTATACCCATTAATTGATTTACATAATCTTGATCATGGGGAGCTGGCACCTAGAACAGTCTTTTTAAGTGGTGGAACAAGTGGTGTAATGGGATAGCGCTGAATCCTAGCCGGTACGCGCAGCTTTATTGAACTTATAAGTTGTCGACAGTCTATCTTTGATGCAAATACTTTACAGGCAAAAACTACATCATTGAGAAGTCTATGACTCGCTAGGAAACGCTTTTGAACTTACTTAAGCCTACCCTGTTGATTCTTTGTTTTAGCTCCTGCAATTATGGGTAGGCCAGTTCGGCAGGTGCTCCACGATGATCGGTGGGTAACGGCGCTTTTGCTCCTGTGCCGTAGTGTTCGTTGCGGCGGCGGCAGGTGTCACGGTGTGAGTTGTTGTAGTAGCGGTGGCGGTGGTGGGCGGTGGGGACAGCACGGCCCCCGCGTAGTTGACCGCCTGCCTTGTTGTTCTTGCCTTCTAGCTACAATAATAAGAACTATTGTTATTATGAGTTAATTGTTATAATGTTATAATAAAAACTATAGTCGGAACTGTAAACGGAAGAAAAGTAATTGGCATAGAGCTTGCATACTTCGGTACCATTTGAAGTGGTTTTTACCCCATCAGTCATAGTTCCTGGGTATGCGCTCGTCCCTCCTCTTTTAGTCTTTACATGAGTCCAAAACAGTCTCGGATTATTCCTCAGTTCCTCGTCTAAAACGGTGAAATACTTTTTATAACATTCAATGGCCAACCTATCACATTGTGTAGCATGATCTTTTAAATATATTGCATCTTGTGGGTTTTTATCATTTTTATAGCGGATTCCAACATTGTTTTTTAAACGTAACATTTTAATTAGTCTATTGTTAAACCTAGTTTTTGTTTAACCTAAGTCTATTGTTTAATTACTGTATTCAAAGTTTCATAAAAAAAAAAAACACTAACCTAACATCTCATTTACATTATCTTTTCCTTTGAACAATTTGTCCCAACTAACTTATTGAAGTGCTGTGCAAGCTGATTGATAATTTCTTTTATGAAAATTAGGTCTAGGTTTGATATTGTAATAAGGAAATCTTGATTCTATATCTAAAGGTATATCAATAAGGTGGATGTTGTCCACTAACTTTGCTCATAGGGTTAATGGATTGGCATACACTAGTTGATGCGTTTGTAGAAAACACAAGGTCGAGATTGCGTCCAGAATTATTGGTAATCCCATTACACTGGTTAAGTCTATTATCATTTATAAAATCGATCAATATTTGACACTTGCCAGATAATCCGACATTACTACTTGTGGTCCCTAATAATTTCCAGTTAATGTGACTTAAATCTCCTAAGTCTCCTACGATACATACAAGTGAATCCCTATTTTTTTCAACATTCGCAGAACAGATCGTGACCCAGGAATATTAACAGCTACCCAAAAGTTCTTTGGGTAGCTGTGCAATGTGCATGACAAATGCTTGCCCAGTATTTTAATTGTTTCGATTTAATTTATTTTTAATTGCAATAAGAACTCCTCCTCCTTCCTTGTCACAATGTGG